CTCTCTCATTTCTTTCTCTCTCATTTCTTTCTCTCTCATTTCTTTCTCTCTCATTTCTTTCTCTCTCATTGTAGAGAAGAACAAGTACCAGTAAAGAGAAAACACGCACCTTTGGCAGCCCTCCCGCCTCCATCATGGCGATGCGACCAACCCTCTTCACGCGGGACCTCTCAGGCCTCTCCCAGAGCTCCGATCCCAACTCGCCCAACGTTGGCTCCCCCGCCGAGCAGCGCGACGATGCCAAGCGCAACTTCCTCAAGGCCATGCGGCCCCTCCCTACGCAGCACTACTGGCATGTGTACTTTGACAAGTGCGCTCCCCTGTCCTCTTTCCTTGAAGCTCCTCCCGTGCCAGGAGTAGTAAGCCGAGCTGACACGCCCGCCAGACAGTCCAAGGACCAGCAGACGGCCGACGGCGAGGAGTACAAGTCGCAGCTCGAGCAGCTCGGCACGCAGATCGAGTCGGTGCAGGACTTTTGGAAGTACAACAACAACACGCCCGTCGACCAGATCCGCACGCGCGAGTCCATCTACCTCTTCAAGCAGGGGTTCAAGCCCGTGTGGGAGGACCGCCGCAACATCAGCGGCGGCTCGTGGACCTTCCGCGTGCCCAAGGCCATCGGCCCCGACGTCTGGACGCGCGTCCAGCTGCTGGCCATCGGCGAGGAGCTGCAGGACGTGCTCGACGACGGCGACCAGCTCTGCGGCGTCGGCCTCTCCGTCCGCTTCAACTCGCACCTCATCTCCGTCTGGCACCGCGACGCCTCCAAGAAGAAGTCGGTCGACGCCATCCTGCAGTGCGTCCTCGAGCAGCTGCCCGCCGAGCTGCGGCCCAAGCCCGACAACTCGTTTTACAAGCGCCACCAGGACCACCAGGGCTTCAAGGCGCCGCCCGAGCTGCAGGCCGTGCTCGACTCGCAGAAGCGCGCCGAGGAGAAGGCCGTGGCGGCGGCCGACAAGGAGGGCGCGACGGCTGCGGTGTGAGAGAGCCCGGTTTGTCTGTGGGGGACGTGGTCCTGAGGACGGCCACGAGGCAGAAGGAGAAAGAGAGACAAGAATTCGCGGCGGGACAATCATCTAGTATGCATTTTTGTGGGCGTTTCTGGGCATTTGACACGTACATAACCGGGTTTCGGAGAGGCTTCGCGCCACGCACAGCTTGCAGAGCAGGAGCCCGCGCAGGGACGGGCGAACATATATATATACACTAGTGGTGGGGGGTCCACACAGCGAGATGCCGATATTGAGGCGTATATGCGTGTCTGACATTATGATGATTGTGCTCTTCGCCCTGTGAAGAATGATTCTGATGTGTGTCATGTTGCCCCAGGCGTGTGAGCCTGACCCTGTTTCCTATTCATTCCCAACCTATTCATTCCCAACCTAATCATTCCCAACCCCAACGCCGTGCTTTAAAAAAAAATGGACATGACACCATCAAAAGAACGAATACCTCAGCGTCGAGCTGCCCTCACTTCCAAGCGCCGGCCCTGCGCATGACCTCCTCAAACTCGACGCGTCCGACGCCGACCTGGACGCCAGCGCCGGCATTCGCCTCGAGGACCATGTCGCGGAGCACGGCGTCGTCGACGTCCTCCTTGAGCACGGCGGCGACCCTCTTGAGGTCCCCTAGGGTGATGACGCCCTCGCCGCGGCCGCCGGAGAACAGGCGAAAGGCCTCGTCGACCTCGGCGGCGCGGGCGCCGTCGTCGTCGGCGCGCGCGTGCAGCTTGAGGGCGGCGACGGCGAGAAACTCGTCGTAGGCGGCGGCGCCCTCGCCGTCGGGGTCGAGGATGGAGACGAGGTCGGCGTGCTCGGCGCGCGACGACGGCGCCGCGCCCAGGGCCGCGAGGGCGGCGCGCAGGTCCCGCGTCGGCAGCTGGCCGCGCGGGTGGGCGCTCGTCGGCGCCGTCGCGAACAGCGAGAAGGCCTCGGCGATCTCGTGCTCCTGGCGCGCCGAGAGGTTGTGCTGCTTGGCGAGGGCCGAGGGGCGGGCGCGCGCCGTGGGGGGTGGTTTCGTCTTGGGGGCTCCTCGTTTGGCGGGCTGTTTTGTGTTTTTGCCTTGCTTTAGTTCTTTTGCTTCTTGTTCTCTCTTTTTTTTTTTCTCCCCCTCCCCCCTCGGGGAATCATGGGGCTGGGTGAAGAGGACGTACCATTGTGTGTCAGGCTGAGGCCGTAGCGATATTCGTCTGACGCTGGTCGTTGTCGCGGGGGTGGAGGATGCAGCTGGGTAGATAGATGGATGCTGCTGGGATCACGTAGCGTAGAGAGAGGAGCTCTGACGCGTTAATGGGTGGAGGGGCCGATACCGTGTGAGTGCACAGTTCCAGTGGTCTATTGACACGGACCAGCCCAGGTAGAAATTTGCTGCTGACGGGTCCCTTCAGAGACTTCCTTCTTCACCAACCTCATCATCGATCATCTGGAAACAAGCCCCTCGAGATCTGGACCTTCGGCCGCCCCATGACTTGGAATCATGCAGACACCATTCACACAGCCATCGTCTGCTCAAAGTTGGGCCCGGCTGGCTGGTGTCCTGCACGGCAGGCTGTGCCCATCATGAGCGGCGCGTTTCCAGAGGACAAGACGAGAGACTACGCTTCTACAATTAATGCTAGAGCTTGCCGCCTCCAATTATCTAGAGCGAGCAAGTGTGGACAATGAAGCAATATGGAAAAACCGCCGCGTGTCGTACGCGGCGCGCGGTCCGTGGGCGCCTCTTGTCTGCTCGGTCCTCATGACCGAGTGGCAGGTGTCCGGGGGAACATTCTACACACCGTCAAAACTGATGTCTGGTGTTGCATCACGGATCCGAGATGGTTCGGCAGCATCTCCGTGGCCATCCTTTGACAGCCATCCTCTACTGGTCATCGCGAGACGAGTGGTCATTCTCATCCATGTGCCACTACGTATGCTGCTCCCACCACCGCCGCTTCCCTGTTGCTTCGTTGCTTCGCTGTTCTGTACACCACCAACGCCGCCCATCACACCCCATTCAAATCTTCGATGCCGGTTCCCTGTGCAGCCGCTCGTCAGCTGCGTCGCGAGAGTCGGGCCAAGCGAAACCTACCGAGCCCACTCACTTGAAGTTGTTCTTCATCTCGCGCAGCTTGGCCATGACAGCCACCGGCTCGCTCTCACCCGTTGCCTTGTGAATCGCGGGGTCCTGTCGTCCATCATGGTCAGCACCGTCTCGCCTTGCCCGTGACGTGGAAACCACCCCCAAGGACCTACCTCGACGCGCATAAAGACATTGTGTTGCTGCGATCACCACTCCCGTCAGCCTGGATCGGGCCACGCCATGGGCACCGCCAGCGGTCCGCCTCACCTTCTCGTCGCCAATCGTAAACTTGCCCTGCGTCTCCTTGTTCGCCTCGGCAAACGCTTCCAGTTTGCGCACTGCCTCGCTTGGCAGCACCGAGATGCAGAACTTGACGTTGGCCTTGGTGTACTCGTGTCCGGGCTGTTCACAGCAGTCAGTTTGGGGGCCGTCGCTCAATGCCCGGGGGAGAAGAAAAAAAAAGAAAGTGAGAGCGAGAGAGAGAGAAAATCCCACTCACGTAGACAACCGTGTCGTCAGGCAGCGAGGCGAGCGTCTCGTTCAGCGCCTTGTGCATCTCCGTCGCATTGCCCTCGAAGAAGCGTCCGCAGCCTGAGCAGAAAGAGAAGAAAAAAACGTCAGCACGGATACGGGCGTTCCCGTCGGAATCCCGAGTAACGACAGACGTACCGCCGTGGAAGAGCGTGTCACCGGTAAAGACGGCCTTGTCGTCGCCGTCCTGCAGGAACCAGCAGATGCTGTCCTGGGTGTGGCACGGCGTGTGCAGGGCCTTGACGACGATGCTGCCGAGCTGGAAGGAGGTGCCGTGGGCGGGCGTCTTGGTGACGCCCTCGCACTGGACGCCGCCGATGATGGGGAGCTTGGCGAGGTCGAGATCTTCGAGCTGGAAATGGAGTGAGCTTCATTCCCCACTGCCAAAAGGGGGGGGGGTTCGACTCGGAGGGCGTACCAGCTTCTTGTTGCCGCCGGCGTGGTCCCAGTGGCTGAGGCTCGTCAGTGATGGGTTGATGTCGAACGACGTCGGGAGAAACGAACTGGTGCGTGTTGACAATCGCCGTCAGGTCAATGTCCTTCGACTCGATGGCCTTCTTGAGCACAGGCGCGACTCTGCGAACGGTCAGGATCAGGAACTGGGGGGGGGGCGGGGGCGCGAAGTCGTCTCGGGATCGATAGGGCCTCACTCCTCGGGGTTTGCGGGGTCGATGATGAAGGCCTCCTTGGTCTTGTCGTCCTTGACCAGGTAGGCGTAGTTGTTGCTACTGCCCACCCCTGGTAACATGACTTAGCTCGGCCGATGAGCTCGTCGGTGCGAACGGGGCTGACGTACACATGGGAATAGACTGGATATGCATTGCGCTGGTGAGTGTACGCTGTGCCGTGTCAGCAAGCCGACGACGGGATGGGATGGGATGGGATGGCGAGGCACTCGTGGGCGAGCGGCACTCACAGGGCGGATGATGCTCGGCGTCTGCTTCAGGGTCCTTCGGGCTGCAAAACCAAACATGAACGGCAACTGGGGCGGTGGGATCGAGTGAGGGGTTGTTGTCGGAAGCGCGGTGTCGGCGACGATGGCTTGTGGCTGCTCGCTACGGCTTCGCGGTTCGTGGTTCGAGCTGATGATGACATAGCAGGGAAGCTTGACTGGCGCCCGAGCTGTGCCGCCCCACGTCCAACGCTCATGGCGTTCCCCACATTGTCAAACGTCACCTCGTGTCATTGTTCCCTCAGGGCTGGATGCTGTTGATGGGGGTGTTGTATTATGTTTGTTGCATGGCTATTCATACTAAAAAAGAAGGGGGAAAAAGAGACATCGGTTGAACACTGGTGTCAATGATTTATCTGGTCATGTAGAGCGAGCTCTCTTGTACCGACGTTGAGATGATTGGAAGCAATCCATGCTGTGTCATACGACAACGTACCTGCTGAACCCATAGTCTGCTAGTATCGTCAAGAAAAGTATCTCGGGATCCTGCCCCTTCAAGGATGCAGTAGTATACACACCAGAGTCCTCCACATTGAACATCCACAGGCAAGCAAGATGGCCAGCCGAACCCATCTACTTCGTTTCTCCTTCTCGGAAGCAGGCATCTGTCTTTCTGCGACCATGACCCGACTGGCCAGTCCTGAGGATGGGCCTCGCAGAGGAATCCTGAGGCTGAACTTCATCGCCTTGGTGATGATCTGTGGGAAGATGGCGGGCGAGAACTCCATACCATGAACATCTGGAATCACGTGCGAGACAAAAAGCAGAGAGTGAGCGCCTCACTACTTGCCTCTTCCTTGGCGAAGTCACTAGAGCTCGTCGCCACGCACCTGATATCATAACAGCAACAGAGGTGAAGCTGGGCGCCCAAGGATTCTGTCCGGATATTCATGGCGTATTCGAGTCATGTCCAGTGGGTGCGTGATCAAGGGGATCTGCCAGACACGTACAACAGTATCCAATGCTCAAGTGCCTTCTCTCGGAAAATGATGTCGTCATACAGGCCATGTTGGGGCCATCAAGGCCATCCAGTGTTCGAGAGCTCACTCAAGTCCAAATTCCAACTCAAGGCCCTTCAATTATCGGGCAGACTTCGTGACCGCTACAGATCGCGACTTCGCTACCGTGAGGCCAAGGCAACTACGACGCCGGATCTGTCCTGAAACCACTCGAGCGAGAACCCGAGACAAGTCACATGGAGAGCACTTCTCTCAATGTAATTATTCAAGGGCCCACTCACTTGTCATGATTTCTCACTTGCCGTGATACCTCCCTTGCCATGATACCTCACTTGCCATGATACCTCGCAGAACATTCATCTGGGCGGTCGTGTCTGCATATCTGAGCCCAGTGAGCCACAGGTAGATGAGTGATGCCACAAACGAAGCAGATGGAAGCATGAACCGATCCTGTGTGCATGATTCCCCGTCCAAAGAGTAGGAGCGGGAATACATATTCCCACTCTGATATTTCCTCAAATGCGGGCTCGGTGTTTACACCAAATCCCTCAAGAACGATTAGTGAAATGCTGGACTCTCAGAGGTTCAGGAGGAAATCACAAAGGATAAGATCGTGGGAGAGAGAAACGAGAAAAACACGCTTGAATTCGTCTAAAGTGGTATCATATAAAAACGCATCACGAGCAGGCACGCGCTCAAACGACACCTATAGGTTTTGGTTTCCAGGTGCCCTCGTACGTCGACCACCCCGTGCTGCCGCTTGGCTCGCCATCGCCCGAGCTCTGCTCCACGTCCATGGCAGTCTCACATGACGGCTCTTCCTCGCCCCCCGGCGCGCCCTCGAGAACCTCGCTCGACATCTTCAGCGCCCCCAGCATCAGCTTGTTCGACCCCGGCTCGTCCATGATCCCCTCGAGCACCTCGAGCACCTTCTCCTGCCCAAACCGCCTCACAATGGCCGTCCTTGCCGCGACGTCGCCACCGCCGGCCCCCAGATACGCGACCACGGCACCGGCGCAGTCTCCCGCCGCCGCCGCCGCTGCCTCTTCCTCCGCCGAGGGCGCCCCGTCTCCGAGCGCCCGCCAGTAATACTCCCAGATCCAGCCGAGCGCCCGCCGTGCGGCGGCCCGCAGCTTGGCCAGCGACGGCAGCTGCTCGTGCGTCGCCTGGTGGCGGAGCTCGACAAAGGTCGCCGGCAGGCCGATCGTCTTGGCGACGCTGTACATGCTCAGCTTGCGCTGCTTGTCCTGGTGCCCGTCCAGCAGGCCCGTGACGAATCTGGCACACGGCGTGAGTAAGAATTGTCACACCTCCTCCCACTGGAGGCAGAGAAGTCATGTGGCCCAAGGGGAAGAGAGAAAGAGAGGAAGAGGCGGGATACGCACCGGCTGAAGGCTGCTGCGTAGGCGGCCCTCGCGGCATAGGTGCCGGCGCTGCTGCCGCCCCCCTCGGCGTCGCTGAGGATGGCGGCGACGAGGAGGGCCGTCGACTCGACGAGGTGCGGGCAGCCGCCGCGCTGCATCCAGAGGGAGACGCGCGCGACGGCGTCGTGCTGGCCTGCGTGGCCGGGCTTGAGCTGGGCCTGGGCCTGGGCTGCCGCGTCGGGGTAGAACTGACGGCGGACGGCGAGGAGTTCGGCTCGATCGCGCCAGGGCGTGAGGATGTACTGGACCATGCTTGGGTTTGCTTCCGCGGGCCTGGTGTGTCTGGTTCTGAGGATTTGGGGTGTCTGACGGGACAGGCGTGATGGTGGATTTGTGAGATGGGACTACCGGTCAGATTTGTAGGTGCTCATAGCAAGCAAGTGATTCAAGCAAGCTGCCTGTATTTTGTCAAAGATTGTCCTGTTCTACCGCTGCTTCTTCAACTCTTGTACAGCTGCCCAGACCTGATGTCAGATACAGATGCCATGTCAAAGACTGATGACAGTGTCTGATACAGTGTATATACACCATATACACAGTGTAACCCAGAGCCCTCGAGGAGACGTAATGAGAAGGAGGGCATGAGGGCAGATACCTGCGGCGGGGGTCATAGCTGAGTCAGCCAATACCCCCCTTGGCTCAGGTGCGTCCCTCCTCCCTCCTCCTCCCTCCTCCTCCCTCCTCCTCTCCTCCTGACTTACTGTGTACAAATTGCAGCAAATTTTCGCCCAAGCTCATGATGAGAACTTCACCCCCTCCCCCCCACACCCCCCCCTCATCTGGAAGGACCCCTCTCAATCCAGGAGGAGTCAGACACCCCACCCCCCCTGTCCTACGCCCCCTCCACCCTACCTTAAGGTAGACAGAGAACTGAGAGGGAGGGTAAAAAAGAAAGAGAAGAAAGAGTACGAGCAGGAGCAAGGATGGCACTGACCCACACCAACTCGACAGGGCTGCCGTCGAGAACGGCGGGGCGGGGGCTATCCTTGGGACCGACAGCCCAATCACCGCGTCCCTGACAGCCAAGCTCACTACACAGACCCATAACCACCACATGTGCGACAGGGGCCACGGCAAGGGTGCCATCTCGCGGCTCTGCCTCGCTTGACTGCTTAGCGTCCGGTATCCCAGTTCTGCCTTCCCTGTCACCGAACCCCGCCCCCCTCCTTCGCTTCCCTCCCCCGGCTCGTGGGGCCTTCGTCTGCAAAGACACAGACACCTCGGCCTGGTCGTCGTCGTCGTCATCATCAGCATCCTCCTCTGGTCACTTGGGGGAGGGAGAGGGAAATAAAATCACATCACGGACCGGGTGATACGCAGCAGCGATAGCCATGTCAGTGTGATCATCACGAAGGAGATCCAGTTTTGTGCGTGTATGTGCATCGTTTCTATTCTCTCACCAACGCACTCCCAGTGCTGGTGCCGTTGCGTCCCCTTTCTCTGTTGGCCCCGCCTACCCGTTCGAAGGACCATGACTGTCCCTTGGGGTATTTCATCTTTCCGGTTCCTTAAGCGCCTCGCTATACATGAAAGAAAAAGGCAAAAACACAGAAGACTTCCATCGCTTGAAGCCCCAAAAAATAACTCCCGAAAAATTCCGAAAGGACAAAAAATATAGTACACATCATGTACATCTACTCATCATCGTCGTCCTTGGCCGTCTCGTCGGTGGCCTCTCCCTCGCCATCTTCGTCCTCGTCATCGCTCTCGGGCGGCTGCCAGGACTCTTCCAACTTGAGACCCTTGCCTGTGCCTTCTTGACCGCGATACGGGGCGCCGAGCAGGGACGACATGGCCGACCGTGAGTGGCTGAGTTGAGGATCGTCCTCGTACTTGTCTGGCGCATCGTAGAGGCCCATGCCCACCAGGATCTCGCCCTCCTCTTCCGCCTCGTTCAGCGGCTCGTAGGGAATGGCGTCCTCCGACGACACAACGGGCTGTTGCTGCTGTGCCTGGGGGAGATTCTCAGGCGTCGGCGGCGAGGTGCTGTTGAACCCGTGCGCGGCGAACGAGTTCCACTGCGACGTCGTGTTCGAGCTGGCATAGTCACACGTCGGCATCACAGGGAACGGCTCGACAAAGGTGCTCGGCACATGGGCCGATACATAACTTGGCGTGGGTTGAGGTGCGACACCCCAGCCTTCTACGGGCAGACAAGGGGCCGCGTCGAAGCTGTTGTACGGCAGAGCGAGGGGCGAAAATGCAGAATTGGGAGACGTGCTGCACGAGTAGGCCGGGACTGGCGAGTAGTGAGACTGCATGCCAGATGCAAGCTCGTAGTCGTTGTAGGTAGGGAACGGGTACTGGGCGAGATGCTGTTGTGCTGGCGCCGACATCTGGCCGTGATAGTAGGATGAGGGGTGCCAGCTGAGGGGGCGGCTGGGTCGAGTTTGAGAACTTGGCATCTCCTGCGTGAGGGGCCAAACATTCTGGTCCACAACCTGCTGCCTTCGCCTTGCTGCCAGAGAACCGTCGCCCATCAGTGTCCTCCGCCTGGCCGCCATGGTTGATCTCGGGCTGCTGTTGGCACTGGTAGGCTTGACAACTCGCATGGCGGTGCTCATGGCACTTCCCGCTCGTTGCTGACAGGTCGAGCCCCTAGAAAGCCGTCGGGAGGCCTGTGAAATGGCCATCTGTCGAGATATATCGTCTAGAAAGGCGTCTGAAGGGTGCTGCTGGTACATGGCCGCGGACGGGCCGGCTTGGGCGACGCCCAAGTATGAGGACATCATCATGAAAGGGTCGATTATGATATGAAGGGGGCTGAGCGTTGATGGTTAAATGCTTGCGTTGCTGGCTAGGTGTGAATTCAAAGTGATGAAGAGTGGTCGAGGATGGAGGATATGGGTTGGGTCGTTGTTATACGTCGAGTCGGAAGTTGGGTGTATGTGGGTGGGATATTGTACCACGGGCTGCTCCAGTTGCTGGGTGCCAAGGGAGCGGATATTGCTGGGAAGGGGGGGGAGAAAAGATTGGTCTGATGGAGAATAAAACAAATCTTTGCCTAGCTCCAGGAAGGACAACATTTCAGCAAGTGGACCGACAGGAAAGACAGGTGTAATAAAGAGGAAGGGCCAGACATGGTAGCTGGGCATGTGTGATGGGCGTCGGCCATAGTGCGGGTTGCATGGGTGATGGGTTGCCGTCTAGAGTAGCATATCAACGAGGATGTGTCTGTGGACGGGCACGTACCGCCGCCGCCGCCGCACAGCACAAGGCGACCAGGGGGGGTGGGCGTCGCAGTCCACGTAGGGTACGTACCGCTTCACGGTGTCTGACTTGACTTTTTGATGGCTACGTTGTAAGGGTGGGCGGCGTCATACGGCCGGGGGCAGGGGTGCCATCGTCACCGGGTGAAGGCTTCAGTCGGTAGGCCCGCCACGATGACCACTCTCATCGGGTAGGCTTGGCTCTCGACGTGCCGCCGGGGCATGGGACGGACTGGTGATAGCGCTGGGTCGGTGGGTTGCCAGCTCTCCATCTCTCTCTCTCTCTCTGTGTCCCTGAGTGCGCTGGCTGGCTGAGGGGTGGGTAACCCGCTCACTCGCCAACAATGACACTACGTGATGTACGAATCGTGGCTGCGGTGCGGGTACGGGCGACTGGGTGCATGTGCCGCTTGGGAATCGCCCACCGGTCGCAGAGCCATTTTCCCACGACGGCTCGGACGGGGTTGCAAGGCTATCGCCAGGTAGCGTCGTACCCGCTCCTCCTAAAGATGGGTGGATGATCAAGGGTTGAGGAAATGTGGGAAGGAAAAAGAACATGGATGGAATGTCTCGTGTGGAAAAGAACCCGCTCGGCCCAGGCGCTCACACCCTGCAGCAACATCAAGAGTCTGGAGACAGGTGGGGAGCATCAGGTGCGGTACTCTGCTGAAAGTACAGGTCAGCCAATCCCTGTTGGGTTGTGCAACTGCGACGTGACGGTAAGGGGGACGCGTTGGACAAAGTCAAGGGAGCCCCCCATTCTTTGCGTATGCAACGGAGGGCGTAAACCTATCGCATTGAATCGAGGGTCGATCAGCGCCGACGAATCGCCTGTCACCCTGTGCCTGTCGACTGGGGGCACCCCTCTCAGACTGCCAGCGGGAGGAGATCGAGGAGGGGTGCACGAAGAAGACGCTTAGACCACTAAAACCCTGGATATGGAGCCAACGTGCTTGGAACGACGGGGACGGGCGGTGGGCAAGGGGATGTGCGTCTTCGCCCTGAGAACCAATTTACGGTTTCTGCCAAAGTGCCTGATGGGGTGCCACCAAACAGCCAGTACTGCTGAGTGGATGGATGGGTGGACACTGTAGGTGAAGACCCAAGATGGCTGCCAATCTCATCTGGCGCGTAGCCTGCTCCGAGACAGTTCTACCTGGTAAGGAGTGACGATTTCATCAGACTGGCCCGAGGCATGGCCTTTTGCCCGTGTTTGAATCCCTTCCCCTCTCACACCCGAAATGCTCCAGTGCACCATCGATCTGCACATGCTATCAAGTAGGCACACAGTACTGTCCAGCTCATCAGTCCGTTTACATCTGTTCTGGCTTGAATATCTTGCCCAATAAAAAGTCCCGCGTGTGCGTCTTCGGAGACAGAGAAAGACGAGAGCTTGTCCGCATAGGATGGAGCTGCAGGACGAGAGGCCTCGTTGATGAGGAATCAGGCCGAAGGAGTGTTCCTGTAAAGCCTGTGACCGCTCTGCCCCCTCCCTCCAGGTCCAGGGATGGATGGTATGAAAGGAAAGGGGCCGCAAAACAGGCCGCCGGCTTCTGAGTAGGGGACAAGGGTATGATCAGGGCGTCGAACGGCGTCTCGAAGGGGGGTTGAGAAACTACAGATCGCGGACCTGCCTGCGACTCTGTGGATGTCTGATGCTTTGTCACAAGAATAGCTCGGCCAGAGGCAAGGGTTGCAGGGCGGAGGGCCCCTGTCATGCCCCAAGCTGTCGGCATGCGCCATGCCACGCCGTGACATGCTCGGGCCAAGATGAACAAGATTCGTTGGACACATCTTCTCCGGGATCCAACCATTGCTCGATGCGGAGCAAAGAAACGGAACGCGAGTTGTTTGCGGGAATGCCGGGGGGCTGGTTTGACGGTGGGGTGGGCGCGCGAAAGGGGTCGCTGCATCACGGACCCATAGCGAGGTCCAGTGAACTCAGGACTTCTGACCAAGCGAGAAGGCGACCAGACGTCTGTTGAAGTGCCATATGCACGGCAAGGGGTCGAACTAGCCGGGCAAGTGATTTCCAAAGGCCAGCAACGGCCGGTGCAAGGTAGCGTGGGAGAAGGGTGAACAGCCTGGCCCGGGGGGTGGGGGGGCAACTTGGCCCAACTGGGCACGGTGCAATGCGGTGCGGTACGGAGACGGATGCGGGTGTGTGGGCGCTGAATCACTTTAGCTTAGCAGAGTACTTGTATTCTGTACCTACAAGGTGCTTGATTTCGTGTGTGGTTTGCTGGCTACGCAGTGAGTGGGATCAGCATGTGTCTGCCAAGCGACCTACCAATCCAGGATTCGACACCAGGGAGTAGTAGTACTGGGTACATTGCACAGATCCTAGACCTTGCTCGGGCACAGCGACCCGCGAATGGCAAGATGCACCACCTGTGAGTGTGAATGCAATACCAAGTATGAAGGGCGGCACAAGGTCTGGGACCCACAACCCACAGCCCACCACAGTTCACGGGTGTGATCTGGCCGTGATCTGGTCTCGAATCCCGTCTGGGTTGCGGCCTCCACTCGTTCCCCTTGGTCCTGGCCACCGTGCCGGGCGCCACAGCACGTCGCAGGCAGCGCAAGCTGAATCAAAAGGACGAAGGATGGAATGCCATCATGCCGTGCCGTCGCCGCGGGCATGTCTCGTGATCCGTGTGTGGTGTCCTGGCGCCAATCCGGTCCGGTCTAGCCCAGTCAAATGTTTGGTTGCCTTGATCCCATTCATCCTTCATCGAGGTAAGAAGGGGATGGGCAAGCCAAGGAGAATCATGACAAGCCATCTCGCTACTAGTGGAGAGGAGGCAGAGAAAAGCGTGTGTCTAACGCGCTTCGAGTCGTGTCGTGCAGTGTCAGGGGAGAATCCTCGGGCCTCGAGCTACTGTATCTGATAGCGCGGTGCGATTGTTTGCGTATCCTTGTAAGAGCCGGGGGAGGCGAGCTTTTGTCCCAAGTGTCTCGGGGAACTTGGGCAGCTTGGATCAGCCCGTCCAGTGAAGAGAAGGAAAAACAGACGGGGGTCTGACCAGGCACTTACATGGTAGGTACTTGCCTCTGCACCGCTGCTTGTGATGAAGGGCCGGAAGAGCAGCTTGTCAGGGTGGAGGAATGTGGCCTCCCCGGGAGCCTCCGAGATGGGTTCGCGTCTCGTGCCATCGAGTACTTGGTCATTGAGCGCTTCTTTCCTTGCCCTGCGCACCACACAACCATGCGTTCGCCGACCAAAGTCACGAATGCGCAAGCGAAGGTGACGGAGGGGCTGCTGCGGGCGGCACTGCTGTGATGGCTACTTCCGCGTTTGAGATTCGGGGTGGGGAAACATGTCCGGCGAGGGCGAGGGCGAGGGCGAGGGCGACAGCGATGGGGACAACGGCGCCGCCAGCAAGCCCTTGGCTGGCCCCCAAGGCAGCAGCAGGGGCCACTTCCTGCACACGGTACAGTAACAATGGGCGGTGCTTCAGTGCGGGTATGCAGACCCTGGTTGCTTGTGGCCACTTCGTCAGGAGAGAGAAAGATAGGAGAGTACATGGTAGAGGGCGTATGGTAGGACCACCAGGGGGCCAGGCCTTCCTTCATTCACAGCCAACCATGGCTCGTCACGACTGGAGAATCCACCTTCCCAGTCTGCCTGGCAAGCGCTGGTCACTCATCCTTCCTACCTGTACGTGGTCCCTCGCCCCCACTCGTCCATTCGTTCTTGCCTCGCCCGTCGTCTGAGGCTGACAGGTGCACACGCTTGTGCTGGCGCTGGCCGCTCGCACCTGCCCAGGCTGCCCTCTGCAGGGCGTCGGCACCATCGTCACCGTCACCCATGGCACCTCCGTGAGTCGAATGGTAGCGGGTAAAGCTTGGATGCATCCACCAGCGCCAGCAAGTCTTGGATGGAGTTGCCTTCCCTGCGCGATCGCCCACACACCACGCCGACCAAGCCACCCTCAACCACTATTGATTCATCATCATTTCTTACACTAGGAGGCAGGTGTGCATGCAATCGGGTAGGTTGGTCGGCAGGCAGTAGCGAAGAACAACTGGGGAACTGATGTACCGTGGTGGTACCTGCTGGTTGACACTGACACACCCAGCACTTGGCTGCCTGCTCTCCGGCTGCCTGCTCTCTGGCTGCCTGCTCTCTGGCTGCCCTGCTCTCTCTCGCCAAATTTATCCGGACACACGCTTCACAGACTTTGCCAGGCCACTGTCAGGGAGAGCCTGCGTTCGATATCCATCCCAATTCATACTCCCTAGACGTGTTCCTACAGCGCCCAATAACCACCCCCCCCCTCTCGCCGAGCGGCATCGTCCCCCGGTGGAAACAAGACATGCCTGCAGCCGACTTTTCGTCTCATCCCGAGCGCCGTCGATACCTGCAGCATGCGGCCTGCCGTCAAGTCACCTGGCACCTTGTCTCTTCGTTCTTGCGACGAAGCCTCGGGCCTTGTCCTTCAGTTGGCGAAACCACGATGACTGGCGCTTACCTACTGTGTGAGCTACATGTTACAGCCTGCAGCACTTGTTCCCAATGCACCATGTTGGGTTTGGACCACCACCACCCTTCTTTCCTAGGTCCAGAATCAGACGCAGCACACACAGGCGTCACATCGCTTCGGCGCGAGAACAACTTCCAGGTGTCTCGAGCCTCCAGCCTCCTGCCTCCAGCCTTGAATCTATTCGAACCTGGTTTCACCTAAACCCCACAACCTCACAAGTCATGCAACGCCCAAATGGAAGCGAGGGCAACACGCTTGTCTCTCGTGCTACCAGCGAGGTTGACACGCCTGTTCGTCATATCGCTCGATTCCGTAGGGCAGCCACGCCGTCTCAACAGCAACAAGAAATGCCGCTACATCTCTGAGTGACACTTGTCAGGAAAGTCTTGAGCGGAGCCGGGCACAGATCCTGGCGCAAAAGAAAACCTCATCCTGTGTGCTGATCAACAACCCAAAGTGTGAGCTGACAACAGCCGTCGCTGTGTCCACCCAAATGCCGGCCCGATGAGGCGGTGTATTGTCGTCGCCTGGCTGCACTCCCGAAAACGAATGACCAAGCTTTAGCGCCCGGCGGTCTAAGGGGTGAGGCCGAGCAATTCGCAGATCCACTCTTTGCGCAGAATCAGCAGGTCATTCGCATCATGCCTCGCTCGTCCAGCCTGCTCCACAATGGACTGCCAACCTTGTGCAGCATCAATAGATCGCCAAAACGGCAACGTCACGCCTAGTCTGGAAGCTGCTTGGTTGACCGTTCCAGGCCTGTTCCGCCTATGCTCTCACTGTTTAGCTGAGCAAGCGGTGCGATTTCCCTCGGACATGCATCAGACCATGGTCGTCTTGAATCATGTTACCTCGAGCACTGATTGCCCTGCTTTGACGGCATTATGTTGCGCACGTCACTATCCTTGGTCAAAGTGACTCTTCACCATACAAGTCGCCAAGTCCCCTTCAAAGGGGCCAGCAATCGAGAACCAAGATCCCCAGCTATAGGTGTTGAGAGCTCCTTACAGTCGGCTTCCTGATTACAAGGGTGTGGGACATTAACCTGGACCCCCAGGGACCTTTCCCACGGGACGCGCGGGCGACTCCAACAAAAGTGAAACCACTCATCTTTCGGTGGAACAGGTTCGTTGTGGCCTAGTGAAGCCTAGCCTATCCACAACAGCAGCAGTAATCCCCCCCTCCCCAAGCCCTTCAGCACAGCGCATTATGCACCACGAAAAACGCGATACGTTTGCAGATGCGGCGGAGGCTAGCGCCCTCTCAGGCCATCTCATTCCCTGGATCCGGCCATCCCTTGCCGTCCCGTTACCGATATGGTCATTCCATATCCCCACCTACGCCACCACCCAGTCGGGTGTATACATGGTAAGTCTAACGCACGGTCTAGAGCGGCACAAAACTCGGCCGCCACCGTGACCACGGGCTACAACGCCTTGCGCGGTTCACGATGGCCGACCATTGCTCTTGGTATGGCAATTCGCCCGTTGGACCCCCAGGGGCGACGATCCCGGTCTCAAACGCATTCTCCCCCCATAACCTAGCAACTATGTGGTGCCGAGCTGAGGATTCGAGACGGCTGACCGGGTCTCTTCGTTCTGATGACAACGCAGCGGCCCAAATAGCAGACGAGACTTGAGACACATTTTCGCCTCAACGACCGATTGACAAAAGGCCATCCACTATAGACCAGTCGTCGCTCGTACAAACATGTCTAGTTGAGGCCTGAAAGGATCGCCAAGTGGTATGGTAGCGAGCGGTTCCGAGGGGCGGACGAAAATTTGTGACAAGTGCCTCCACCATCAACAATAGTGGGAGACAGGTGTAAAGCGCTGAGCATTACAGGCCCAGCGGTGTGGCGGGCTTGCTCCTCTGCCGACGGTCCTGTTTTCCCTCCCGAGGACGTGCCATCGTCGATGCCAGGCAGAAGCATGATTCATCCGTTCACACACAAATCAACTTGAACACTGATCTGCTACTGAGTTAGTGACGTTTTATTGTCATGTTCCGGATGTCGGAGCATGTGGGCCACACCCAAGGGTGGCCTGCGAGCCATCGACTCGTCGTCAAAGCACGGCCGGGGAGGGGAGGAACATGACAAACCTTGCTTGGCTGATGTTCTATCCCACATTAGGGGGGGTACGTGCCTAGGGCCGACACAACCTTGACTTTCACGACGGTTGGTGGGGATGTGACTGGCTATGGAGCCACTTGGGCCCAATATGTTTTCGCATCGCCTCATATGCCACCGTCAGCTCGATCTAGGGGCTCCGGTGGCTTTGTTTTCCCACGCTGATGGCTCGGCACCTGGTAACCAATCCACGTACAGTCCGGCTCATCCACAACTCCCGGTCAAGAAAAGGGCCCGATAGTGGACAAGTCCAAACCTGCGTGTCACGATGGAAGACAGGACGACTGTGCGACATGACTTTCTCTTCTCGAGAATTTCCTTGGGCTATGCTGCGATTTATGAGTTCAAGGGCCATTACCACCAACACGGCCGGGTTTGCATTATTGAGAAAACAAGCGTAGGGGTGAATTTCAGCTTCTGACGACGTCCAACGGATTCGGGCTGAAGGATGATCTACATAACGTCTCGCACGGTCTGGGTTTTGGCCGATCATTGTGCATAGGCCGCCTCTGAGGCTGTCGCAGATGGCGAAGGCCCGATGCGCGAGGGCGGCAGAAGCGGTCTCAAGAATGACGCTCATGGGACCGACTCGTCCAGAAGCCGAGCCACCAGCGACAGCCTTTGGCCTGGTTACACTTCCACTACGGCCAACTCTGAGCATGCCACTTCGACACTTGCACTAACTGTAGGCGTGCACCACCAGACGCGTGCCTTGAGTGCCAAGCATGCTACCATACGATGTACAAGACTGGAAACGAGCCAGGGTGTGTCCTGATGGGAGGACACTCGGAGATGATCATGCGCATGGGCGGCCCCAAGCAGCCAAGTGGAGAGCAACCAGTGAGCGGGTTGGCCTCATTAAGGCGCCCCGAACAGGGGCCAGGGAGAGGATACACATCGTTTTGTGCTTGGCCCTGGAGACCCGCTGTCTGACTTGGAGGCCCAGCGAAGCAGCTCGTGACAGACAGACACCAACCCAAACTCCTCCCGGCAAAAGTGTCCGGCCAGCGCATCCACGACGCAACGCAACCGATGCCATGGGTCACACATGTACCATGTATGCACCTGTAAGGTCCATCGGCCAAGGGGCTGGCCTGGCCCGATGGAGTAGGGAGTCGAGATGTGCAGCTGTGGTTTCCTGAGCCATAACAGGGTCTTTTCGTCCGCTATACGCTTTACAGTACCTGGCTGGGCAGGGAAGACACGACCCAAGGTCACCCTGATCCATGCTGATATCGGGCTTTTTTCTGCCCTTCCCCTCCCCTCCCCATCGCTATAGACTGTGGCATTCTTTTTCCTTCCGGTACGCTTTTAACAAATGGGCGGCAACATAATGACAAAAAACAGGAGAGACCATCCCCATCGTGCAGTGACGACCTGGGCCGCTTCTATCTGACTCGCGAGAAGAGCGGCCTTGCCTGGCTACAACAAAGCTCGGAATTAAACGAGACACAGGCAGCGCGTTCGACCAAGCGGCCCTGGCCTCCAATAGCTTACTAGCTTGGAAATAGCCAGCGCAGCATTTGTCTGACGCCGGCCACTTGCTACCTGACTTGCCTGGGATCGTATGGACTACTGGATACCATTTACGTCCTCGACTTGAACCGTCTGCTCCGGTCCATGCATCATACTTCCCTCATGGCCTTATCCTAGGTGAACCTCCGATCATAGCCCAAACCAGCAAGCCCTTTCCGCTTGGCAAAGGGGTCTCATCAGTCTGGAATGATCTTCACGGTGCCCTTGTAACTCTCTACGCAGCCAACACCACAACCAGGGCAAAGCTGGGCCGCTGGCCAGTCCGCAGGCTTCGTTTGACGCCACCCCCCGTCGCCCATCTCATCTCATCCCTTTGAACCCGAAATTGATCTCAGTACAAGCAAGCGCCCCACAAGCCGTA